CGCCCCGCCCCGCGCATACCTGCTCCTGCTGGCGGCCACGTCCAGCACAGCCTGGCCACCGCGGCTGCGCAGACACCCGGAGCGGCCTGGCTCCTTCTCACCAGCCCCGAGTCCCAGGGCCCCACCAGGCTCTGCGCTGTGGTCTGTGGGGTTTGCTCTTTTGTTCTCATCTGGGGCCGTGGCAGGCAATGCTGCCGTGGGGCCCTGGGCCACGGTCGGCCCGCACCTGGGCCAGTGTTTCGCTGGGGCGGAGGCTAAGCTGTGGGCCCTGCTGTTCGCAGGCCCGGGCTCAGTTATCTGGCCTGTGAAATGGGTTCCGGCACCCCCTCCTTTACGGGGTTACATGGGAGTGCATTCAGCTGGGTGTTGGCACCGCTTCGGGCATCTGCCTGGGGTGGGTGGCCGGGGCCTGGATTGTGGGGTGTCTGCCTGGGGTGGGTGGCCGGGGCCTGGATTGTGGGGTGTCTGCCTGGGGTGGGTGGCCGGGGCCTGGATTGTGGGGTGTCTGCCTGGGGTGGGTGGCCGGGGCCTGGATTGTGGGGTGTCTGCCTGGGGTGGGTGGCCGGGGCCTGGCGGCCAGAGAACAAAGCCGGTGCCGGGAGAACAACAGGCCTGCCCCTCCCCGCTCCCGGCTGCCAGGGCGGGAGGACTGGATGCAGGAGAATGCCGGCCCCATCACACCCGCGGCTGTAACTCAGGCCCCAGACGCTGCCAGCGCCATAAATTTGGGCGGAAAGTGCAGCTCCAGCAGTTTGCGAGCCGGAGCGGGGGAGGCCGCGTGAGTTACCGCCGCGGAGGAGCCCGCCGGCATTGTTAGCGCAGCGGGGATGGATTGCCGCTGCCTTAATGAAATGGAATTTTAATTTATGTCCGAGCCCGCGGCGGGTGGGCGTGCCCGGGCAGAGGTGGGCTGAGCCCCAGGACGGGGTCCCCTCTGTGGGGAGGGGGTTGCAGCCACATCTTACAGGACAGGACGAGGGGCACCCCTGGGTGCTGCCAGCCTCGGGGAGTTTTGGGGAAGACACGTTACCCCTCTGCGCCTGCCGCTCACCCGGTCACACCTGCGGGCCCAGGTGCAAACCCCTAGCAGCTCAGGGAGCTGGGGGGGGGGGTCCCATGCTGCCGCCTAGTGGGAACTGGAGGGTCACCTGGCGCTGGACCAGGCGTGGAGACGTGGGGGAGGGGCAGGTAATGAACATGGGGCTCTGGGGGAGCCCCCCAGCCCCCACAGACGAACAAGGCATCACCACCTGTGCTGCTGTGGCCGTTACACCCCTCTCGGCAGCCTGCTCAGCGGGGCGCTCTGCGGGCATCTGGCAGCCGCGGTGGTTCCCTCCCCGCGGGGTGCACAGTCACACACGTGCTCTGGGGGGCGCTGCAGAGCCCGCACTTCCGGGTGAGCCGGGCCTGGTTGCACATCCCAGCTGCACAGTTCCTGCCCCCGGGGAGGCTCTGCCTCTCTGAGCCTCAGTTTCCGCTTCTGCCCTGGAGGTGATGAGGGTGGAGGGTCCCAGTCGGATTCTGAGGGTCTGGCCCACCACAGAGGCGAGGTTCTCAGCGGAGCTCCCCACAGCGCTCAGCCCTCACCAGCGCGTCTTAGATCCGCGCCCATTTCACAGCTGGAAACACTGAGGCACCTGCTCAGGTTCGTGAGTGGTGCAGCCAGGCTCCAACCCTGTCAGTGGGCGTCGGGAATCACGGGGTTTCTCCTCCACACAGGCCGCCCCTGGTCCGCGTGAGGGATGTAGGATTTATCGACGTGATGTTGAAGGTCTGGGGACCTCCTGGGTGTGCCAGGCCCTGGAGGGCCCCGGTCACTCGGGATGGAAGACGCCAGGAAGAGCCTGCCCTTTGGCCGTAGCATTTGGCGAAAGGGACTCGATGGGTCCCGGTCCAGCCAGCTGAGCAGGACGCTGTGCCCTGCAGGTGACAGGCCAGGCACCTCCACAGCCAGGGGCAGCTGCACCTGGGAGATTGATGTCCCCGGGACTGCAGGCTCCCGGGCAGGGGTAGGGCCCAGTCACCCGCCCTGGGACTCTGACCAAAAGCCAGGTCAGCCGGCCTGAGGGACAGGGTCTGGGGGGCTGGGCTTGCCAAGCTGTTTGGGGGGAATTTAAACTGAGCGGGGTGCACTGGGGGGCAGGTGGCAGTCACAGCCAGGAGGGAACAAGGCCATCAACTGGGCCAGGGGTGATGGAGAAAAGCCAGGAGAGGGGTCTCCATGAACATATGTGTGACGTGTGACTGAGAGCCCAGCAGCCATGCCCACGTGTGCCCCGCCTGGACCTGACACCCCACACTCCAGCGTGAGCAGAAATGTGCATGCACACACCCAAACCCATGTGTGCACACCCACCCCAAACACACACACACGTGCACACAAAACAGCGCACACCCAAGTACATGCGTGTATATGCAAATACACGCACACCCCCAAACACATGCATGTGTACTCAATCACAACACACGTATGTGCATATGCACACACCCAAACATGTGGCACACCACACACACACACATACACACACACACCCAAACATGTGCTCCCCCCCCACATGCACTCATACCCATGCACCGAGTAGTGGGCCCCTCTTGCCACTAGAGGGCACTGGAGGCCTCCCAGCCTCTGACTCATTTGCTGAAACAGATGCATGTGTGCGCTTGCGTGTACACACACACACACACACACACACACACACACACACACACACACTCTCATGGCCAGTCGGCCTCGGAGCCAGGATGACACATGGTGGGAGAGGAAGGCACCCGGTGCTGGAAGTGTTCCCGGCGGCTGCGCCCTTTCAGACAAGCACTGGGCGTGTCGGCAGCTTGGCCCCCTCGCCCACACACGGCTGACATCAGTGTCCAAACGAACCAGGAAGCCCCCAATCTCCTCTCGCCCCTACGCCCCCATTCACTGCCCTGAGCCTCACTTCCTGTCACTGGCCGTGGCGTCCTCTGGACGGCTCTGCCAGGGGAGGGCCTGGCTTGGGGACCCGGGGACCCAGGGACCCAGGCCCGGACGCTCCTGGGGGCAGAGGGCTTTGCTGGCACCGGGGGCGTGGAGGGAGGTGTGCCAGGTCAGCGGATGAGTGGCTGGTGGAGGGACCGGAGGATGTGCAGAGGGAGTACCTGGGCTTCTGCCACAGCCCTCAGCCCGGCCCTCCTCTCCCTCAGCCTCTCCCCAGACCTGGGCACCCAGGCTCCCTGCATTTGGTCTGACTTTGACCCCTCCCCCAGGACAGCCTGGTGTGACCTCCAGGTGTGACTAGGCCCGAGCACAGGTGTGACTGAGGCCTGCCAGCAGCCACCATCACCGAGCCGGCTGAGGACCCAGGTGGGTGGGGCTGCCTGCTGAGCCCTGCCTGCATCCTGAGCACCAGCTGTATGAAGCCACCAAGCACCGGGAGCTGGTTATGCAACAGCAGAGAACCAGGACAGGGGACACGGGGGCCCCCCAACCGGCCACTCCCCTGCTCCAGCCGCCAGACACAGTTGCTGCCCAAGTCAGGTCACCCTGAGGCTGGGCCGTGGGCAGGCTGGTCTGGGCTGACAGCAGGCAGGGGTGCAGCAGGCCCGTCAGTTAGGAAGGGGTCCCCCCCCATGCAGAGCATCACCCCTGCGGAGGCGGGGCTGTGGGAGGTGCAGGGGAAGAGACAGGGGGGTTCCCCAGCCGGGGAGGAGCCCAGCACCTTCCCCAGCGGGACAGGCTCCCGGGGACGAGGAGAGGCCCCGGACACGCTTCAGGCGAAGAAGCAGCGAAGTGCAGCGCGGCTGGCGGGGCTCTGTGGTGAGCGTCGACCTATGAACCAGGAGGTCGTGGTTCCATTCCACTCGGGGCACCTGCCCGGGTTACAGGCCCGATCCCCGGGGGGGCGTGCAGGAGGCAGCAGACGGGTGATTCTCTCTCATCACTGATGTTTCTCTCTCTCCCCCTCCCTCTCTCTCTGAAATCAATAAAAAGAAAAGAAAAAAGAAGCGAAGCACGAAGGAGCGTGGCTACTGTGCTTGCGGTCGGGGGAGAGGGGGAGTGAGCCCCTCCGTTGCGCTCTGCGGAAGGCTCTGGAAGGCACATGTGACATCACAAGCGTGGCTTCTTGTGTCCTGGGGGATGGGGATGGGGAGTGGGAGGGGGCAGAGGTGGTGGCCTTTACAGTGTGTGGCTTTTCCACTCTGGGAATGTCTTACCTATTACAGATGGGTACTCGATTCCAGGTTAAAAATGGAGGTGAACCACCTGCCTCCCACAAAGCCTTGCTCTGAGGCCCAGTCCCTGCAGCCGGTCCGAGAGGTGCCAGGTCCGAGAGGTGCCAGGTCGGGACTGGCCCGCTGGCCTGGGGGCAGGGGTGAGAGGGAGGACAGCGGGGAGCATGCCTGCTGCTGTCAGTTTGGACTCTTGGGGTTTGAAATGGGAAGGATGAAGCCGCGTGGGCCCCAGCTGGCGCGGAGCCCTCGCCTCCGATCTCTGTCCCAGGCCCCCGGAGCTCGGGGCAAGGCTTTGGGGAGTTACCAGGGACCCCCAGGGCGTCCTGGGTAACAAGAGGGGCCGGGCAGGTGCTGGGACCATCTCCCCACCGAGCAGTCCTGGCATCCAGGCCAAGGACACATCTGGGAAGCCGGGCAGGGAGAGGGATGCCAGACAGACACAGGGCAGCACGGCCAGCAGGTGGTGGCTCTGGGGGCAGCATGCGGGCAGTGCCAGGGCTGGAGGCACCCCTGCTCTCCCCCAGCCCCACCCCACTGTGGCTGGTGAGGTGGAGCCCAGGGCCCGCTCAGGGGGCGCCTGGGCGTGAGCGGCTGCCGTGGTCCAGGAGAGGAAACCGTGTCCCCCCACTCGGGCATCCTGGGAAAACGGCGGAGGTTGTTCATCCGCCTTCACCTGCCACGACGTGAGCCTGACATACCCGCTGCCGTGGCTGCAAGTTGGGAAGGCGGCAGGAGCTGCAAGCCCTGCCGACTATGAGATGAAAGGAGGCTTGAAACCAAGGAAATGGAGACATTTTAATGCAAGAAAAAGAACAGCGGGCACAGCTCCCCCGCCCGATGGCGGTCCTGGCGGGAATGTGTGCTCTGAGCGTCCCGTCCCCGCACAGGCGGTGCCCGGCCGCTGGGTCCCTGCATCGCGGGCCGCACGCCCGCTCCCTGCGTCACATTCAACTGCTGCTGCGGCTCCTCGGCCGGCTGTGCCCTCTGGGGGCCCTGCCCCCGCTCCGGGCAGCCAGGCCGGACCCTCGGCCGCCCAGCCCCGCGGGATCAGCGGCTCCGCGCCCGCTCCCTCTGAGGGAGGGTCTGGCCCCGGGCTCTCGCTGGGGGGAGAAGCCCCAGGCGGGCGGCTCTGCGGGCACACGATGCCCTCTGCCCTCGCCCAGAGCCCTGCCGTGGGGCCCGGACACCCGCCGAGTCCCGCTGGCACACGCCGCCTCACAGCTGGTCCTCGTCCACCCACACGGTCTTGCGCTGCTCCTCGCCGATCTTGTCCTTGACCACGCGCAGCAGCTCCTCCACGCTGCCCCACATGTCGGTCTCCACCGTGGCGTACAGGCAGGGCAGCGCCTCCAGCTCCTTCTCCTTCAGCCGGCACAGGCGCAGGAACTCCTCCTCCGTGTCCGGCCGCGGCAGCATCTTCCTGCGGGCGGGCCGGGGCGGAGGCAGGGCTGGGGAGAGGCTGCAGGCCCCGGGGTGTGTGACCATTGTCCAGCCCAGCCGCCCCTGCTGGGGGCCACCCCTCCCCACCCCGCCGACCACCCCTTCCCTGGCTGTTTGTCCGCAGCGGCTGCTGCCTCTCGCACACGCCGTACTGAGCCCTTCTACTCTGCTCGTTATGGAAATCCCAAGAGGTGGGCATTAAAAACCCACTTTCTTTTTACTTTTCCACGTGGTCAGGTACATAGAAATAACACCTCCCATCGTAACTACTCCTCCGTGCACAGCTCAGCGGTAAGTTTACTCACACACTGTGCAACCGTCACCACCACCATCTCCAGAACTTCCCATCTCCCCAGCTGAGCGTCTGTCGCCATTAAACACTCACTCCCCGCCCAGCCCCTGGCCCCTCCACCCCTGTCTCTCTGAACGTGACTCCTCCGGCCTCGTGTAGGTGAGTCACACAGTGTGCGTCCTCTGCGCACAGTGTCCATGTTTCATGTGTCAGAGCTCCGTTCCCCTGAAAGCAGGGGGGGATGGACATCAGCCACGGGATGGACAAGGCCCCTGAAGTCATTTGCTCTGGCCCTGCCGAGACGTGAGGGGCGAGTGATTAAATGCTTGGCTAACGGAGCAGGCTAATGTTTCAGCTGGCGATTTTGTGTGGCCCGAGTATGATGTGCGACACATCCAACGGCCCTGGAAAACAGGGTCCCCCTGCCCCTACCTCAGGGGTGACAACCATCCCACTGCATGGATGGGCCTGCTTCGCTGGCTCCTGGCCCATCCGTGGGCGGGTGAGCACCTGCCCGGCCCTGCTGTGGCCAGGGGTGGGGTTGCGGGGTCCCTGGAGGTGGTGTTAATTTTGGGGGCCCTCCATCCTGTTTTCCTGCAGCGGCCACACCATCCCGTCCCCACGGCGAGCTGTGGGGTCTGCTCTGGATGAGGGCCACCTGGGGTGTGTGAAGTGGTCAGGTGGGGACTCTGGTATCATCTGCTCCCTCAGGGGTCCCCTAGGTCCTGGCACTTAACAGGCGCCCCCCAAACATCTGGTGACAGAGTGCAGTGGCCTCAGCTCTCCGTCTCGGTCGTGTGCGAGGAGAGGGGGGGTCAGAGGTGATGCGTGTCCCCACCGGGCCCCAAACCTCAGCCTCATCCCGACTCCTCTCCTCTCAGACCCCACGGCCCAGCCTGTGACAAACTGCACACGCCCTGGCCTCTCCTCCCGCCGGAGGGCCCGGCTGCTCTGGTGGGAGCCCCAGAGGCGTGGCGGTGGGCGGGAGGAGAGGGGGTGCTCTCGGGCGCCCGGGGTCTCGGGGCCCTACCTGAACCTCTTGATGTTCTTCTCCGACACCCGGATGAAGAGCACGATGGGGTAGATCCTGGACTTGATCAGGTCTCGCGTGCAGCTGATCCCGGCCTCCAGCAGGCAATGCTTGTTCTGCAGGCACAGCCCCTTGTCAGCAGCGGCCCACCGGCTCCTCCCCAGCTAGTGAGGGGCCTGGGCGGGGCCTGGGGTGTGGGAGTGGCCTGAGACACAGGGGGCGGGGCCTGAGACACAGGGGGCGGGGCCTGAGACACAGGGGGCGGGACCTGGGGTGTGGGGAAGGGCTGTGGGGCGGGGCTTGACATGTAGGGGGCGGGGCCTAGGATGCAGGTGTGGCCTGATACACAGGGGGCGTGGCCTGAGACGCAGGGGTGGGGCCTGGGCTGCAGACCAGGCTGAGAGCCCAGAGTGCCAGGGGCTGAACCAAGGCGGAACCCGGGAATGACCAAGAGCGAAACCCAGCCTCCTCTGGCCATGCGTGGAGAAGGCACTGGGGGCCCAGGCACCGGGGCCCAGGCGACCCTGGCGGCCTGAGTGAGTCCTAAAGTCAAAGGGGCACCGGGAACGCCAGCTGCGCCAGGCGCCCGGCAAAGGCGGCCCGGTCCCAGGCAGGGGAGCACCCTCGGCGGGGTGCCCCGCGTCCACAGGCCCCCGGCGCCCGCCACCTCATTCCCGAGGGGACAATCCCTGTGGCTGCAGGGTCGCTTCCAGCACAAACCACCTCCGCACGAAGCGCCGTGAAGGCGGGAAACCGCACGTGCTCCCAGCGAGCGGCCACGGGTCTCACCCCCAGAACCGCACCGGGGCTCGCACGTGGGATGGAGAAATGACGCCGCGCCCCATGTTCCCTCACTGCTCCCCGCCCTCCCGCCCAGCGGCTGCCGGCTTCTCGCAGATCTGACGGCATCACTGCCTCGGCTCCCACGACCTCATTCCAACCTGCAGACCCGCCCGCCCTCCATCGTCCACTGTGCGAACCCTTCACCGGCCACGGCCCAGCCTCTGGCCACCGAGCCCAGGCGGAGGGCTGTGCCTGTGCTTGTGTCTGCGAGTGACCAGGCCGGGAGGGCGCTGGCGTGACCATCTGCTGGACGGCAAATGCGAGCTCCTGGCCGTCCCCAAGGTCACACCCAAGGTCGGGAGCTGCGCTTTCAGAGCCCTGGGCCGGGAGAGACTCAGTGCGGAGGGCGTGCGCCGGGCTCCAGAGGACGCTGCCTGCGCGCCGACACCTGCTCGTGTCGCTGCCATGACCCCCGGTGCTTCGTTTCTCCTCCTTTGGCCAACACCCCATCTGTCACCACCAGCTGGCCCTGGCCCCGGCCCGGCCCCAACACACACTCGCTCTCTATCTCTGGCCCTTGTTATCACGGCCAAGCAACCCCCGTCCCCCCAACAGCGTGAACTAGAGCCCCAGGAAGCGGCAGAAACAGGAGGTTTCAAAACACGAGGGCACGTCAGAGCCGGACGAGGCGTGGAGGGAGGAAGGGAGAAGGAGGAGGCCCACCCACTGGAGGCGAGAGCCAGTCACATCCCCACGGCGCTCAGCCACGGCCAAGGCGGCCTCCGCGGTCACCGGGCAGGGGCCACGCCGCCCGGCCTCCCCCCGCCTCACCTTGGCCGCCACAGCCTCGATGTTGGCGGGGACGATGCACTCGAAGGTGTTGGGGTTCTTCTCTCGGGAGTAGATGATGGTCTCTGACCTCTGCTTTCTGAGGAACTCGTCTCTCGTAACAACATCTGCGGGGACAGGCCCAGTCCTGAGGGAGGCTCAAGGCGGCGCTGGGCCGACGTCCTGTCCCCTCTGCCTTCCCATCGGGGCTGGACACAGCTGCATGCCCGGGCCCAATCCTGGCTGCGTGTACATAACCCGCCTCCCACCGCCGGAGGCTCCCAAGGGCTTGGCTGCAACTCCTCTGGCAGCGCCAGCACAGCTGTGAGTGAGCACTCGCTCTGCTTCCCAGCGGTAAGATTCACTGGACAAAGCATCTCATGATGATCACGGGTGCCTGTCATGAGGGACTTCGTGTTCCCTCACCCATCCACCCACCCATCTACCCATCCACTCAACTATCTGCTCATCAATCCATCTACCCACCAATCCACCCATCATCCATCAATCCACCCACCTATAAATCCACTTCCCAACCCATCCATCATCCATCCACCCACCAACCCACCCATCATCCATCAATCCATCCACCTATCAATCCACCCATCATCCATCTATCCATCCATCTGCTTACCAATCCATTCATCCATCCACCACCCACCCATCCATCAATTCATCTACCCATCCATTCATCCATCTACTCACCCATCCTTTTATCCATCCATCCATCCATCCATCCACATATCAACCCACCTGTCCATCCATCCATCTGTCCACCCACCATCCATAATTGTCTCCCTGCCACATGAGGATGCAGAAGTCCCCAGTGATGGGGTGGCTTGTCGCCCACATAAGGGCCCAGACTGGGGACCCCTGGCTGACCCTGAAACCCGTATTCACCCTGCCACCTTCAGTGTAAAGGGGGGAAGGGAAGACCGGCTCCCCTGGCTCTGGGCCCCCGAGTGAGAACTTGGCCAGGCTGGCATGGGCACACAGGCCTCCCGTCCACACCCGGCCACTCCACCGCTCCTCCTGCTTCTCCAGCCGCTGTTGTGATGTGACCTGGCGGTGGGGAGGGGGCTCCGGCCGGGGGCTCACCTGGCTTGCACATGGTGAACTCCATGGCGCCCCCCGAGTTGAGCAGCTTCTGCACCAGCGCCTTGGCCAGCATGGTGGGCGTGAAGAGCACGGGCCGGCGGCGCTCGCAGTGGACGGCGCGCACCAGGCTGTAGGGGATCAGGCTGAGGTTCTTGCTGAGCTCGCTCTCGGGGTCCAGCTCTGGGAGGGACAGAGAAGGGCTGGCTGGGGACCCCTGCCGGCCTGGCCTGGGTGGGGGGCACGGAGGCCCTGGGTGCCTTCTGGCCTCACGGATCCTTTCGGGGGAGAATGGACCACGGGGCCCGGGTCTGGCAGACAAGGCCGACGGCAAGCCCACAGGCTCCAGGATGCGCCTGGCCGCCAGGAAGCTGACGGAGTGACCCTGGGCTAGGCCCTGTGCTGTGAGCAGGCATGTGGCCCTGCCTCTGGGCGCTCCATGCCAGGAGGGCTGTGGTGGCAGAAGGCAGACAAGGCGCGAGGAACAAACACCAACTCTGTCCCTCTGACGGCACTGAGCACTGAGGAGGGGCCTGGAGCGGACGGGCAGGGATGCTGCTCCGACAAGGGGTATGGACAGCGAGGGGCTGGAGTCAGGCCCGTCTGGGCAGAGGAGGTGGACGCCAGGGAGTCAGGATTGTAGGAGCCTGCAAGGGGCAGGGCTGACCGGGCGCCAGGAGGGGCTCGGCGCCCTTCAGGAGCCCTGGAAGCTGCAGGGGCAGAGGCAGGAGCGCACGGCCTCATGCCGCCTTCCCACCCCATGCGGGCCTGGAGGAGCCGCCTTCCGGAAACCAGAGGCTGGGCATGTGCTTTGTCTGACCCAGCAGCCCAGGCCCCGCTCTGGCCACCAGCAGGCCCTGCACAGGGGCCTGTGCCCGGGGCCCTTCCCCGGCGTGATGAACGGCAGGAGTGCGCACGGGGGACAGGAACCAACAGGCAAACCCTTCCCAGCAAACAGCCCCCACCAGCACGGCTTCTGGGCGCACACCAACCGAGCGGGGCTCACGGGGATGGGCTTGGCGGGACGCCACCTGGGGGGCTGTGTCCCCCCAGCTGAAGCCAGGCAGATGCTCCCTGGGAGGCACCCCGTTTGGAGGGAGAGGCTCCAGCGCCCCTTGCGGGGACCCTGAGCCGCCGGGCCGGGGGAGGGGCCACGGTGGGCGCCGTACCTTCCTGCCTGTCGGCCAGGAGCTTGGTGGCGTCCATGGAGGGCCGGGCCAGGCCCCCGCGCGGGCTCCCGGGAACGATGCGCACGCGCTCGTTGCTGTTCATCCTCTTGTACTTGTTCTCCGACCTGCTGACGAACTGGGGGCAGAGGGCGCACACGGCTGTCGGCCGGTTCGCGTCTGACCCGCCCCCGTGCTCTCAGCCCGGCTCCGGCAGACCTCTGTCCAGTCCCAGCCTGCCCGGCCCGGTCCCCACTTCCCCTGGGGACACAGGAGGTGCCTGCAGGCCTGCGGTCCTTGTGCGTGGGTGTCATTAGGTAACTAAGTGGACAGGCGCCCACTCTCTCCTGGCCCAGGCTTGGAGCCGGGGGCTCGTCCTGTGGTCCCGCCTGCACCCTGCAGACCATGGGTGCGGCCTCCGCAGGCGGTGGGGCCAGGGGTGCCCGGCCGCTGAAGGCCCAGGCTGGGAGCCCCGCTGGCTGGGAGCCCTGCTGGTGGACAGCCCAGGCCCCATCTCCCGGGGCACTGCTCTCTGCACCCCTGCCTTGCTGTCCTCGGCTCCTCCAGGAGGACCTGCTCCCTCCCAAGTTCAGGGATGAGGTGTGGGGGGCCGAGAGGGCTGTCCCCATGGCAGGCACAGAACCCAGGCTCCCACCATGTCCCCCGGACACTCTGTGTCTCTCCATACCCTCCTCTGCCGGGAGGGGAGTCGGGGAGCCGGGATTTCTGTCTGCTCTGCTGTCAAGCGGCCCCTGGGTGTCAGCTTGCTGACACGTGGCAGTAACATGTGCTCCCGTGTGGTCCTGCTCCCAGGATGCCTCAGGCCCAGCAGGGTTCCCTGCTACCTCTGCCAGGGACTTCCTGCTACCTGTCTGCATCCCCTGGGCTTTAGGGTCACACCGTTCACCACGTCTCTGGGTCCCTCGTGTCCCAACAGCAGGACAGAGCAGTGGAGGGACACGTTAGCGCAGCGCCTGCACACGCACCGCCCCGCAGGCCCAGCTTAGAGCTCCTCCCTCAGCTCTGTCGCCTGTGACCGAAGGGACGGCCACATGGAACTGCTCACCGTGTGCGTGTGAAACCACTTCTGATTTCACGGGACACCCCCACTAGCCACTCTATGGTCCTTGGATAATGACCCATCAAAAAAAAGTCCCTGTAGAGCTAAGTATCAGGGAAGATCATTTGGTCCCGAAGAGCTGAAATAGCTCGGTGGTTAGATGAGATTCGAAGGATCTGCTGGTTCCCGTCGCCCTTGGCTGTGGGCGGCTCAGGGAGAAACGGGACGCTCAGCCCGAGGGACACACTGACCCAGACACCAGCAACGTGCTTCCCTTTCCTGGGACACGGCTTCCGGTTTCTGCTACTGTTTAGCAGAGGCTGAGCTTCCAGCCACGAACTCCCCAACCTCTTAGGAAAGCAGCGTGTTTGCTTTCCGCAGGCGCAGAGCCCGCCGACCGGCCCGCTGCCAGGTCACCTGGATGGGAGGGGGCAGGGCCAGCGGCTGAGGAGCAGCGGGTGCCTGAGGCCTCACCTGGAGCAGCTGGCCAAAGAGGAAACTGGCTCTCGAGAGGCGGGGGCTGACCCGGGGGTCACTGGTGGAGAGCGGCTCTTCGGGCTGCAGGGTGTTCTGAAACCAGGTGACCCACTGTCAGCCCCGCGGTGCTGGGCAGGACACGCCACCGCCACCGAGACACAGGCGTGTCGCAAGCCCCCTCCGAGCCGACGGGAAGTGCCAGCCAGGGACCCGCGTCCTGGCAGGGGCAGCTCAGACGGCAAGAGAAGCCCGAGACCCGTTCCCATGGAGACGAGAGCCCTGGCTCAGCATCGCCGTGGCCTCCGGTCACAGGGCAGGCTCCTCCTAGAGGGGTGTCCTGAGAACCAAGTCTCCCCGGGACCCTTCACCCCAGGACTTATCCGCTCCCGGCTGCGATCCCTCCAAGATGGGGGGAGCCCCGGTGGGCAGGGCGGGGACCTACCCGGAAGGCCCTGAGGGTGTGGTGGGCGCTGTCGGCCTCCTCGCGACTGCCCCGCTGCATCAGCCGCTGCAGCTTGACCAGGAGCAGCTGCTGGGCTCTGGGGAGGGGACAGGGGGCGGAACCTCAGGGCCGGAGCAGAGGCAGGGCCAGCCCTGGGCAGGGGCCTTGCGTGAGGGCTGTGAGCTCTGAGCCTGGGGCACCCGGGGGTGGACAGGGAGCCTCGCCTCTGGGCCTGAGTCCTGCCTCCAGGGCCATCATAGTGGCCTCATCTGTAAACGGTTCTACGAAGGCTGCCCCCCAGGCCTGGCCTGGGCCATGGTGCTGGCGTTTACAGGTGCTTTACGGACGCCTGTGCATCTAGTGGGTGGTGTGTGTGTGTGGGGAGGCTGGTGCTCAGCCCCTGGTGGCCACTGGCTACTGCTGTGCCATTCCGGGCCCAGGACTAGCGGACGCGAGCGGGAAGCTGCGGGAGAAGGACCGAGAGGGCGCTCGGGGACTTAGGGAGAGAGCAGCGTCCCCGAGGCAGGAAGGCTCCCAGGAGGGGAAATGGGCCTTGCTGCTCCACGGCAAGGCGCCCGCGTGTCCCCTGGGCTGCGCGGCCACCCCAGGCCCCGCCTCACCGGCTGTAGCTGGGGATGGTGCCCAGGTCCAGGTCGTGGTCCGTGAACGGGTCGACGCGCGCGCACAACCACTCGTGCCGGTCCTGGTACATGGTGTCGCGCACGTGCACCACGTCGTCGCACCTCAGGGACAGGGAGCAGGCGTCCAGCTGGCCGGAGATGTTCAGGTTCAGCCGGATGTAGAAGGAGTCCCCTGAGGTCACCAGGCCCTCCTCCATGTCCTTCAGCAGCGTCCGGTACCCTGGCAGGAGGCAGGGGACACGCACCGATGAGGCGGGGCCGGGCCTCCCGCCGCCGCCGCCGCCTCCCGGGCACATCCACCTGCCCTGACTCCTCTCAGAGCTGCTGGCACCGAGACGCCGGGGCCCCCAGGGAACCAGCAGCTGTGTCACTTACGGGGCTCCCGGCTTGTCCTGGCGTCCAGGAAGCTCAGAGCTAAATTTTGGGCCCAGTTGCAACAAATCTGGGGTCTCTGCTACACCCCACGCCTTCCCCACCCTCACCCAGCGCTCGTGTCTCATTACCCCCACCCTGCCCTCCAGTCAATGCACAGCTCGCACAGTAACAGCGTCATCATGGGACTCAGCCTGACGGATTCCCACAGACGGACACACCCGCAAGCACCACACAGAGCGCTCACTCACCCCTCCCGCCAACACCCCTCCTGGGACCCCCCACTGCCACCTCCACAGGCCAGAGTCCACGCTTCGCACGCGTGCAGCCAACAGCAGGGCCCCCGTCTGCGTCTGTTGCCCAACATCATGCCCGTGAGCGCCATCGACGCTGTGTGCAGCATCTGTGCCCTTCTCACTGCTGTGCACGAGTCCACGTGGCGTGGGTCTCTCCTGCGTGCACACGGGTGCTGTCCCAGGCCTGGGCCGCTGTGGACAGCCCTGCGACCAGCATGCTATGCCTCTCTGGTGGACGTGTAGACTCGTGTCTCTTGGACACAGTCACAGACGTGGGGTTCTCAGGCCCCGGTTATGGTCTGTTGAGCACACGCTGCTGAGTGGATTTCTGAAGGGCGAGGACCACGACGGCTGTGGTTAGACCAGTGGTTCTCAACCTCCTGGCCCTTTAAATACAGCTCCTCATGTTGTGGTGACCCAAGCATAACATTCTTTTCGTTGCTACTTTATAACTGTCATGTTGCTACTGTGATGAATCGTCATGTGAATATCTGATATGCAGGATGGTCTTAGGCGACCCCTGTGAAAGGGTCGTTCGACCGCCAAAGGGGTTGCAACTCACAGGTTGAGAACCGCTGGGTTAGGCCCCCCTGACACCATTGCTCGCCAGTGTGACGCTTTCAAATCCCTTTGGAAGGAAGGGCATGAAGCACAGATGCAGCAAATGCCACAAGGGGTGCCCACGACACGAACCCCTTTCCAGTCCCAGGTCAGCCCCACGTGCGTGAGCTGCGGGAACACGGTGGGCGAGCACACGGTCCCCACAGCCAGGCCCGGAGACCGCTCGTCAGACGGCCACACCGCACACGGCCATCTGAGCCAGCAGGCATGTGTGCGTGTTCACGGGGAAGTGGGGGCCGCTGGTCAGGCCCCCCCACCAGCCGGGTCGTGTTGATGCCAATCGCTCTGTGAGCTCCCCGCCCGGGTGGAGACCCTATAAGCCGGCCCGGCAGAGGGACATTTCCTCCGCTGAGCTCCATACCGGGCTATCCCGCTGCCCACCTCTGGGGGGCCCCGCCAGGCCCTGCCAGGAAGCCTGCGGGAGGCGGCAGGGCGGTGAGAGTGGCTATTTCTGCGCTGATGAAACATTCATGAGCCTGTGGTTAAAAATAAGCTCCAGCTGCAGAGATAATCACTCGGGGAAACACGGAGGTGAGGGCGCGACGCAGCCTGGCACAGGGAAGATGGAGCGCGGCGCTCCCGCCCGGGCCGGACCAGGAAGGGCCGGTGAGGCTGCCGGGGCCGGACCAGGAGCGGGTGAGGCCTGGCTGTCCTGGACCCGGGGCCACAGTGCAAAGGCCTGGCCCTCCGTGTGGCTGCAGGGCCCTGCTCCTGCCAGAGCGGCCACCGCAGAGCCCGCGCCAACCCCGGGGCTGGGAACCTGACGGAGGAAGCAGCTCCAGCCCGGCCCGGAGGGGGGAGCCGGGCCAGACAGGGCCAGTCCCGGCGCTGGGAGCCCTGGCGGCCTCCGGCCCCTGCTCGTGGCTGGACCTGCAGTGCGCCCCGGAGCCAGGTGTGTGCCCGCCGTGTGCCAGGCAGGTGCGTGGTGCTCACCTTCGTCGCCCTCCTGCTGCCACCCCACACCCGCCCGTCAGATCCTCCTCTCCCCGCACAGGTGCGCGAGGAGAGGCCGCCGCCCGCCCGGGGTCCTGCCCGCCCGGTGTCCTGTGGCCGCGGCCGAGGGCAGGCGCGAGGGCGGCGCGGGCCTCACCTTCCTGGTTGGCCTTGTAGTGCAGGGTGACGGGCCCGCTGCACCGCTGGATGGTCCAGTGCGCCTCCTCCTTCGTGCAGGAGTCGAGGGGCACGCTCTGCCGCTCGCCCTTGATGCAGCCTTCTAGCTGGAGAACAGACCTGTTCCTCCTGGGCCGCGGCAGAGCCCGGGCTGGCGGCTCCCACGAAGCGAGAGCGTCCCCCCACGCTGCACCCCGCCTCGTCGCCTCGCTCGCCTCCTGTCTACCCCCCTCCCGCACACATGTGCTGGCCCGTGTGCACTCGCAGGGGCACAGGCTCCCGAAACACACGTGAGGAGTGGCGGGGGGAAGGGCTGGAGAGGGGCTCGTAGCGAGGAGGGGACCCACCCCTTCCCGCCCCCTCCTGGCCTGGGGGCCGAGCTGAATGCAAGCCGTGGGGGTGGGACACGGGGACAGCCCCCTAGAGCCCCCTCCCCCGGGCCCCGCCCTCACCAGCAGCAGCTGCAGGCCCTCATGCAGCCCGGCCTTCTCGGCCAGCGAGCCGGGCTTGACCGAGTGCACGAAGCTGCCGCTTGCGTTGCCGCCGAGCAGGGTGAGCTGGGAGGTGAGGCCGTCGCCGCTCAGCGTGGCGTGCTGCACCGAGGGCTGCACCGCGGGCCCGGGGCCCCGCACCTGCCCCACCGACGTGACCGACGGCCGGAAGGGTCTGGGCAGGAAACGGAACAGGGGGTCGCGCTGGAGCTGAGCACCTGTCCCCGGACAACGGAGGGCGGGCGCTGCCACTGCAGCCACCTCGAGGGAGAGCTGTGCACACGGGCGGGAAGCCGAGCTGCTCCTGGCCACGGGCAGTGACCCAGTGACCGCGGCGGGAGACACTGCTGCCCTGAGAGCCAGGTCTCCCCCCCACTCCTCCTTGACGGGCGGGGGCCCAGGGCCAGGCAAAGGGGGGAGGCTGCTTCCTGGCGCCCCCAGCTGCATGGCTGGGGAAGCCCCTCCCCCTGGGCCTGATTGGGGGACTCAGATTCTAGCTCTCAAGGGGCTGTGGACGGTCCCCTTCGTGGGGGTCCCACCTGGTGAGTGGCCTCCACCCCAGTGCCCCTTCCCGCGGCCACAGTACCTTTCTAGAGAGAACTTCCTAAACATGAGGTTGACCTGCTCCAGGTCGAAGGCGTCCACGCCCTCGGACTGGTGGGAGGAGGAGGAGGAGTGGATGGAGGGGGGTCCGAAGGAGCACCGCTCGTGGCTGTCATCTGCAAAGGGACGGGGCCCTCAGGACCCAGGAGCAGGGGCGGGGCGGAGAGGGTGCCCCGGACTTGCTGGGGTGCCCTGGGCCGCTCCCGGGAGGCTCGGCCGCTGTCCGCAGCTGCTGGTTCTGCTTCTGAATTGGGCTCATTTGGGGACCACCCAAGGTCTCACTACCCTCGACCAGCTCTGGGCCTAGGAGGCTGGGGGCGGGGCTGGGCGGGGCAGGAGGGCAAAGCCTAGACCTTGCAAAGCTGTCCCCCTCCCCTCCCTTGGGAAGGCCGCCCGGCAGGGCTCGGCTCCGCAGAGGCTCCGCAGCCCCTGCTCGGGCTGATCACGAGGCTGGTCTGCAAGGGGATTTGTCCGGACGCTGCAGAATCAGAATCGCTTGGCCCGCTGCCCAGAACTGTCCCGCGTCCCCTTCCCCAACTCCTCCAACCCTCCTCGCTCCCAGCCTCCATTAGGGCTGCCCTCTCTTAACACTTGATATAGCTCCTGACGGCTCCCAATTACGGAGCCACTAATCTCTCATTTTATCTGCGGGCGGGCGGGGAGCTGGCCCGGAGGAGAGCCATCCCCAGAGGCCAAACCCTCCTGCCCCCTCCGCCCGCAGGCCAGGGGCTCCCGGTGTGGAACTCGGCACCGTCCCCTGGACCACAGCCTCTGCCTCGGCAAGGACTCAGGGACACGCGTGTGAGCCCGTGCACATGGCCCAGGCCCGCGAGGCACGGGGCTCAGCGGGTGCGGCTGAAGCAGGCCGCCAGCCGTCAGGGCGGTGCTAGGGCCGCACACGCTCTCCCCCAGAGACGGAGCCCCTTCCCGGCTCCCTGCAGGGCTCTGCATGGCACAGCGGGCCCGGGCGCCCGCCTAGGAGTGCCACGCGCACTCGCCGGCCCAGCGGCCCTGCCCCCGCCTCCTTAACTGCCGCCCCACCTCAGCCCCTCCCCTCTCCTCCTGTCTTGTTCAGGTTGGTTAACAGCTTAATACATGGATGCTTAGGCGGCCGCCCTGCCTCCAGGCCACGTCCACCCACCGTGCCCTCATCTGATTCTGCAAAGTGAGAACAGAAGCACCTGCGCCCGGTCGCTGGGAACCCATCAGACGGGACCAGGTACGCGAGGCAGGCGCGTCCAGGGCGCTGGCTACAGCCCGAGAGCCGTTCCCTCTTAAAGACCCAGGCCGAGCTCTGGCCCGTGCGCAGCAGCCCGTGTCCCCACGGAACAGCGGCCAGGCCCGGCCAGGTGGCTCCGTGGTTGAGCTTTGACCTATGGACCAGGAGGTCAAGGGCACAGGCCCGGGGTGCAGACTCCATCCCCAGTAGGGGGCGTGCAGGAGGCAGTTGATCCATGATTCTCTCTCATCACTGATGCTTCTCTCTCTCCCCCACCTTCCTCTCTGAAATCAATAAAAATATATTTAAAAGAAAAAAAAAACACCCAAAAAACCAAAGGACAGCCCTCGGCGCCTCCAGCCCTGCAGCCCACCAGGACCGAGGCCTCTCTGTGCCCGGGCAGCACCCGGCGCCCTCTCAGAGCCCATCCTCTCGCTCCTGAGGCCCTACTGTGTGCAGGGCTTCGTCCCGCGGGCCCTGCTGGAGCGCCAGGCGGGAGCCACGTGCCCTGCTCCCGCTCAGTGCCAGGCAGCGTGGCACCTGCAAAGGCTCGGAGCCGCCGGGTACCCACCGTCAAGGTCTAAGACGTCGAAGCCGCCGCTGTCGTTGTCCTCGTCCACGGCGCTGCAAGACACAAGGGGGGCGGGAGGGCGTGGGCGTGAGTGTGAGTGCCGGGCTGGGTGTGCGGAGCTCGCGGAGGGGAGCCTCCGGGGCCTGGCTTTCTGAGACGCTGGTTCTGAGAGGGCAGGAGGGATGGAGAGAGGAGGGTCAGCGGGAGGGGGGGCTGTGGCTGAGGGGGTGGATGCGGCGGGCGCTCTGCTGGGGAGGGGGGAGGTGGGTGGGGGTGGCATCAAGGTGTCAGCCTTCTCTCAGGTCCAGGTTGTTCACACGTGCTCCTTGCCACGGAGGATCGAGGCCCAAGCCAGGCCCTGGCGGGACCGGAGAAATGGGTCCAGCCCCGCCTGTGACCAGTGCTCTCGGCCCTTCAGGACCCGACAATCTCAGACTTGAGTGTGACCCACCATCTGTGGCTGGCGGGAGATGTGCCGCCCGGGTGTGCCCCTATGGTGCCGCCCGGGTGTGCCCCTGCTGTGCCGCCCGGGTGTGCCCCTATGGTGCCGCCCGGGTGTGCCCCTGCCGTGCCGCCCGGGTGTGCCCTGCTGTGCTGCCCAGGTGTGCCCCTACAGTGCCGCCCAGGTGTGCCCCTACAGTGCCGCCCAGGTGTGCCCCTACGGTGCCGCCCAGGTGTGCCCCTACGGTGCCGCCCGGGTGTGCCCCTACGGTGCCGCCCAGGTGTGCCCCTACGGTGCCGCCCAGGTGTGCCCCTATGGTGCCGCCCAGGTGTGCCCCTATGGTGCCGCCCAGGTGTGCCCCTACAGTGCCGCCCGGGTGTGCCCCTACGGTGCCGCCCGGGTGTGCCCCTATGGTGCCGCCCAGGTGTGCCCTGCCGCCGCCAGGTGTATCTGAGTGGTTTCCTTTCTGGGAACCTGATGGTTTCCAAGAGGCGAGGGAGGGGAGAGGGAGGAGCCGGGGCCATGCACGGGTGGCTCTGTGGCTCGGGCCCAAACCCTGGAGCCGCGGGCGGAGGACCCTGACTTCGCGCACAGGGACAAGTGGCGCCGGTTCTCCCATTTGCTCGCTGGCCGGTGGCCCTGGGAGAGCCATGTTCCTCCTCTGAGCCCCGGCCTCCTCGTCTGTAAAACGCGTCCCGGCTGCCCTCCCCGGCGCCCGGGAGGGGAAGGTGGTCAGTGCAGAGGGCACGGCGGGCACCAGGCCCGTCACCCACCTCCGATGGGGCGCGTCCTCCTTGCAGCGCCTGACGATGGAGTCGTTCCCCGGGGGCTCAGCGGTGATGGACATGATACTGGACCGGCTCCGGTGGGGCTGCTTTGGACGCCAGGGACAGTGTTACGGGGCCAGGCAGCCCCGCCCGGGCCCCCGTGGGCCCCGGATCACAGGCACAGCGACCACATTCGCTGGGACGCGGCCCTGCCTCGCTGGGGTGTGGGGCTGGCCAGCGGGTCTCAGAGGGGACCTCCCCCGAGAACCAGCACATCTGTGGGGGGGCGGGGGCGGGCGGTGGGGGGGCGCAGGCGGGAGGATGGGCTGCAGGCGGGAGTGGACTTGCACCCTGCACAGGCTGAGCGCCAGGGCCCCAGCTGCGAGGTCGGGGCACCCGCCCTGGACCAGATGAAGACCTGCGGGCCCGGCCTCCTTGTGTGTGGGGGGCAGTGGGGCGATCTTTCAAAACCAGGCCTGCCGGCTCCTGGCAAGGGCTGCCTTCTACAAGCGCCGGATCCGCCCCCAGAGCTGCCCTCAGGAGTCACCTGTTAGCGTCTGTTAGCACTGCATCTCCATCTCCTCGCCGCCCTCCCCTCCCCGGGGCCTGTTCTGGAAGCAGAGCTGACAAGCTTCTCAGGGTGGCCCTGGGTTAGATTCGCTAATCCCCAGCCCCCTGCTGCCTGGCAGGTGGGAGGCGGCTGAGACCCAGGCGGGCTGCCCAGGGGGGGCTGGAGCTGAGGAGAGGGCCTCTGGGCTGGGGAAGGGCCGACTGGGCCCCCAGCCGGGGTGTCAGGGCCGAGGGGTTGTGGCAGAGTCCCGGCAGCTCGTGCGATTCCCACAGCCCCGGGGGAGGGGGGCGCCTCCTCCATCCGAGAGTTAAATGGGGAGGAGGCGGCCGGAGGTGGAAACACATCCTGAGGCCCCAACATCTTCACATACATAAGAGGCCTGGGGTGCAGCCCGGAAGGGGAGCGGGCGCCAGGCCTGCAGAGGGAAGCAGGGCCCTGGGGTGGGGGCAGGAGGGGCCATGCTTACCATCTTAGGGAAGGAGCTGGTGATGGGCAGGGACCGGGAGGAGCTGGGGCTGACGTCCATGCCTTCTTCTTCCTGTCCCCTCCCTGTCCTCACCACGGGCAGGAGAGGCCGAGGGGAGAGGGGAGGGACAGGGAGTTGAGAGCCCCTTGGGGGGGAAGGGGGAACAGGGGGGGTCCTGTCTGGGGGCTCGGCTCCTCGCTCCCACGGGCTTGCTCTCTCCTCTCCTGACCCCGTCCCACTGCAGGCTCCTGGGGTAAGGCTGGCCTCATTCCCCAGCAGCCCCTGCCCTGGCCAGGCCCCCAGGTAAGTACTGTCCCCTGGAGCAGGGAGTCCCTCCCCTCCCCCTCCCTCAGGGGCTGCTGGGCCTTTCGTATGCTTCTCGCCGACAGACAGACAGACAGACAGAAGGCTGCACTGGGGCTCTGGGGACCCACAGGGAGCGGTGGTGGACACGACGAGGCTGCTCCTGCCCTCCCGGCACAGTGACCATTAATTACCAGGTGGACACCCCGCCCCAGCCCCAAGGCCAGTCCCAGGTGTCCCCGCAGGGGCGAGCGCCAGGGGGTGCGACGGACGCAGAGCAGCGGGGGACAGAGCGGAGGCCGCGCCGCACTAACCTGGAAAGTCGGACGCGCGCTTCAGGCTGATGGGGGACTTGGCTCTCTGCAGCTGAGGGGGCAGAGGACAGGGTCACGCGGGCCCAGACCCGGCGCCGTGACGGAGGGGAGGGCGAGGGGGAGCCCAGCGGCCCCTGCCACGCGGCTGCGACCACAGCAGGCGCACGGCACCCATCTCCGCGGCGACAGCTGCTGGCCAGACGCCCCCAGGGAGGCCGGGGCTGGGCTTGGAGGACAGAGCTCCGAGGGGCGGAGGGTGAGCGGCGGGCGCGGGCGCCGGGCTGCGTGGATCCACACGCCCCGGGCGCGGCGAGGGAGGGCGGGCGTCGGGCGCTGCCGGCCACTCCACCAGTGGGTCCCCTGGATGTGCTGCCCTGGTCCGTGGTGCGGGGACGGTGGGGACCCGTGGGCATGGTCAGGCCCTCACACGACATCGTCTCCCTCCTTCCCTCCTTCCCTTGCTCCTTCCTCATCCGGGGCCAGAGTGCGCCACAGACACGCTAGACACGGAGCCCGGCAGACGGAGGACGGGGAGCCCCGCGTCTGCTGTGCCCGTCACTCCCCCACTCAGGAGGGGGGCTGCACTCACACCTACCTGTTGAATTTGGAAATAATGCCTCCCTCCCTCCCCCCCTCCCTCCCTCCCTCCCTCTCTCTCTCCACTTATTTATTTATTTAATATTTCTTTATTGATTTCAGAGAGAGGAAGGGAGAGGGAGAGAGAGACAGAAACATCAATGATGGGAGAATCATGGATTGGCTGCCTCCTGCACGCCCCCCACTGGGGCCAGAGCCCGCAACCCAGGCCTGTGCCCTGACCGGGAATTGAACCGTGACCTCCTGGGTCATAGGTCAATGCTCCCCCCTGAGCCCCGCCGGCCGGGCCTCTCCTACTACATTTAAAGGAAACGAGGGGACTGGCCAACACGCACAGCGCGCAGTGCCTGTCCGTCCGTCCGTCCGTCCGTAGGGCTGTGACGGGTCGGCCCGTCTGGGGCCTGAGACCCGCAGCAGAAGCACAGCCGCATCCTTGACGGCTCCCGCTTGCCGCCCGCCGCCCTCTGCCCACCGCCCGCCGCCCTCTGCCCGCCGCCCGCTGCCCGCAGGTACCTGGATGCCCTTCAGGTTCATCCTGCGCTTGGGCGGGTGGCAGGGCAGGAAGTATCTGCTGTCTTCAGGTGAGTCCTCGGAGGTGGAGGAGTCGTCGGCTTCCTGGCCGTTGGTCCTGGGGCTGGCGTCCCCGAAGCTCTGGGAGATGATGGTCACCGGCAGGTTCCGGGGCAGACTCTGCAGACAGGGGAGCCGGGCGGGGGGGGGGGGGGGGGTGAGCGGCAGCCGCCAGGCCACAGAGCCGCTCTGCCCCTGGTGCCGCCACGTCCCGGGCCCAAGCTCAGGACGCCTGCGCTTCTCTCCGCCCCCGACCCCCCCGACGCCCGTCTACCGGGAGGCCAGGCCATCTTCCAGCTCCACCCCGTCTCTCCTCACCAGCCTCCATCCCGCCTCCCGCCAGCCAGGGCCTGGAGCAGGGATGGGACCCCCAAGCTGGTCCTGCCCCTTTGATCCGAGGTGCACCATCCTCTCTCCAATTTCCAGCCCCCAGTCTGAGCTATGAATACGAAAAACATTGCCAGGCCCGGCCAGGAAGCTCAGTGGTTAAGCGCTGACCCTGAACCAGGAGGTCACGGTTCAATTCCTGGTCAGGGCACATGCCTGGGTTGCGGGCTCGATCCCCATGTGGGGCGTGCAGGAGGCAGCCGATCCATGGTTCTCTCTCATCATTGATGCTTCTCTCTCTCTCCCCCCTTCCTCCATGAAATCTATGAATATATTTAGAAAAAACAAACAAACAAAAAAGAACACATTGCCGAACGAGGGAATAAGGACAGAAACAGTGCTGGGTCCTGTCCTCTGTACTGGGCTGAGGGGTGAGGGCGTGAGGTCACTTCTGCTGACCCCCAAAGCCATGCCACGCCACCCCCACCGGCTACCCTACAGCCTCCAGAGCCAAAGCTGCCCTACCTCCCTGCACAAAACCCCTCCCGGCCCCTGCGAAGCGGACAACGCCCGTCCTTCCACCACCGCCGCCCCCTCCCCTTGCGGCTCCTCCCACTGTGGCCCCTGCCTGTCCCCACCGCCCAGTCGGCCATCATGGCCGCCAACAGCATGCCAGGGTGCCACCCCGCCCCCTGGCCTGGCCCGTCTGTCCTGTGGTCCCGTCTTGTCCGTACAGTTGGCCGCTGACCCTGAGCCCACCCCATGCCCGGCACCAGGTCCTTCCTGAGCGTCTGCGTGAGCACAAGAGGCTTGAGAGCTGAGGGCACCGCACACTGGCTCCCGGGGCCACACCGAGGCCCGGGTGGAGGCGCCACAGCCCGCTCCCGGCTCCACGCGCCCTTCTCCGTGTGCTGACAGCCTGCGGAAACGCCAGGCTCCGGTCTGCCTCCAGCCAGGGCGTCCTCTACGGGGGGTGAGGGGGTGAGGGGTGGGCATCCCCGTCTCCCAGGCCCCGATACTGGGGCCCCAGGCAAGCTGCTTGGGGCCTGTCTGGGTCCCTCCTCGGTGTAGGAGGGGAGTGGTGGGGCCTTCCTGCTGGGCAGTCCTGCACGTCAAGCGAGATCACACACAGAAGGCGCTTTGCACCGTGCATGCACCCCCGCAGCTGCACCCCCGCAGCTGCACCCGCACACCTGCACCCACAGACCTGTACCCACACAGCTGCACCCACACAGCTGCACCCACGCACCTGCACCCGCAGACCTGCACCCACACAGCTGCACCCACGCACCTGCACCCACACACCTACACCTCCGCACCTGCACCCATGCACCTACACCCCCGCACCTGCACCCCCGCACCTGCACCCACGCACCTGCACCCATGCACCTGCACCCCCGCACCTGCACCCATGCACCTGCACCCACAGACCTGCACCCACGCACCTGCACCCACGCACCTGCACCCACGCACCTACACCCCCGCACCTGCACCCTCGCACCTGCACCCTCGCACCTGCACCCACGCACCTGCACCCACGCACCTGCACCCCCGCACCTGCACCCACGCACCTGCACCCGCAGACCTGCACCCACGCACCTGCACCCACGCACCTGCACCCACGCACCTGCACCCACGCACCTACACCCCCGCACCTGCACCCACGCAGCTGCACCCGCAGACCTGCACCCACGCAGTTGCACCCGCATACGTGTACCCACGCAGCTGCACCCGCACACCTGCACCCACAGACCTGTACCCACACAGCTGCACCCACACAGCTGCACCCACGCACCTGCACCCACACACCTACACCTACGCACCTGCACCCCCGCAGCTGCACCCACACACCTACACCCCCGCAGCTGCACCCACGCACCTGCACCCACACACAGGCCCCGAGACCCAGGCGGCTTTAATAACATCCCTCGTTCGGGCGGCAGCGCCCACTCCCCACCTTGCCCTGCCCACTGGGCACTGTAAGGGGAGCAGGGAGCTGAACCCCGTGAGCATCCCCACGGCGGCGGGAATCCAGTGTGGGCCCCGAGAGGGAGCCGCAGCGACCTGGTGAGGGGCTCGTCTGAGATGCCAGCGGCAAGCGCCAAGCCGGGCTCCACCTCACTTTCCACCTTCAGCACGAAGCGTCCCCTCATCACTGCCCAGCACACGGGAGGCTCAGGCGCAGGCTGTCCGGGGGAGGGAGGGTGCCCCTCTCAGCCAGGCCGCCTGCCGCCCGCCGCCCACCTGGTCCAGGCTGCCGCTGTCCCGGGACAGGCGCCGCAGCTTGCTCTCCAGGTTGACGATGCAGGCTTCGCGCCGCACCATCTCGATCCGCATCTCGTCGTTCTTCTCCTCCAGCTCGCGGATCTGCTTCCGGTACTTGTCCTTCTCAATCAGGCACTGTGAGTACTGCGTCTGTGCCTCGTCCCGGGAGTGGAAGGCCTGTGGGAGGGACAGGCCCCTGGCTCTCCATCCCGTCTCCCCCCGGACACGCCTCCCAGCCCAGGGCCCAGCCCCGGCGGGTTACTCAGCCTTTCCCAGCAGCACCATCCCGCTGGGCTCCAGCCGCGTGGGGCCCGGGGCTCGGGGCGCCTCTCCGGGGCCCACTCCCTGGGCCCGAGGCACTTGTCATTCCCGCTTTACAGACAAGGGCACCGAGCCTGCCAGGGTGCCCGGTGCTGGCCACACGCCTGAGTGACAGGCCCCGACCCGTCTACTCCGGAGACCAGCACTGAGGGGTCACGCGAGGCCAGCCCAGCCCCACGTGTTCAACTGCCTGTGCGTTCGGAGAGCCTCCGGTTGGAATTCATCTTTGAAATGGAAGTGGGAGAGCCCGGCTGACTGTGGGTCCTGGCGGGGGGGCGGGGGGGGGGCAGGGCCTGGGCCCAGAGCCCCGAGTCCTTGGCCGTGTCTTCCCTCCCGTCCAGAGCACTGGGCTCAGGGGGAGCTCTGAGGACCGTGGTGAAAGGGCACCGACATGGCCAACGCCTCGGGGACACCGGCTGGGGATCTTTGACCCTCATCTGTCGCCCGTTTCACCCCACGGTTACCTGGAATTTTCCAAGGGACATAGAGAGCCTTTGTTCTAAACAGCGAATCGGGAACGCCCTCAGCTGAGAGGGGCGGCTGGTTTTACTGGAGAAGGCTCTGTGGGCCCTTCTCGGCCGCCACCGGGGTGCCCTGGCCCTCAGTCCCCCCTGGCCCTCGGTGCCCCCCTGGCCCTCAGTCCCCCTGGCCCTTGGTGCCCCCCTGGCCCTCGTGTCCCCGACCCTCAGTGCCCCCCTGGCCCTTGGTCCCCCCAGGCTCTCTGTCCCCGTGGCCCTGTCCCCCCTTGGGCGGCGTGGCGCACCTGGTCCCGCTCCCGCTCCACCTCCTCCAGCTGCAGCATCACCGTGTTCATGCGGTGCTTGTACATCTCGCAGTCCTTCCCCAGCGTCGAGCACTTCAGCTCCAGGTCTTCCTTCTCCTCCAGGTACTGCGGGGGGACAGGCGGGTGGGGGGTCAGCGTGCCGCCAAGTCACCCGCAGGCCAGGCCGCCGCCCCAAGTGGCAGCCATCTGACCGGCAGGGATGGTCGCGGTAGGTCAGTCAATGAGCTGGGATTTGCTCAGACCTACTGTGTGACGGGGGATGGAGGGGGGACGTGCAGACCCGGTGCGTGCCCCCGAGGCCTGCCATCGGGAAGGGAGACGGGGCCCCGCGGACACAGTAGCGAACAGCTGCAGGGGTGCCGGTGCTGGAGGTGGGGCTGTACCCGGGTCAGGGAGAGGGGGGCCGGGCAGCAGGGTGCACCCCCCACCCGCCCACCTTGTCCCGCAGCCCCTCGGCCTGGCGGGCCTCCTCCTGCAGGTTGTAGATCTTGTTGACCAGCTCCTGCCGGTCCTCCAGCGCCTCCTTGCGGTCGTGCTCCAGGATGTCCAGGATGGCCTTGTCCGAGTCCGGCAGGCTGCGCTGCCCGGCCTGGGGGCGGGAGAGAGGGTGGGTGCCGGGCCAGGGAACCAGGCAGACACCACAGACACCGCAGGCCACGCTGAGCTGGGGGCAGAGACGGAGCAGAGAGCGAATCGCCGCCCCTGGGGTCCCTGCGGTTTGTTAGGTGAGACTGTCATCACCTGGCAAGAAGCATAAGCCCTGCTGCTGCCAACACCCCGAGGCCTGCTGTGGGGCCCCAGCTCTTATCGGAGCCCCAGAAGCTGCTCCCCAACACTTCACAGGTGGCAACAAAGATAGGGCAGGCCTGCTGGTGGGCGCCTCCGCCAATTAGGTGCCATCTGCTTGGATGACACCGGCTCAGCTCTGCTATGTGTGAGAGTGCAGGCGCCAGGCAGCCAGTTGGGGGAGGCAGGGGAGGCAGGGGGAGGCAGGGGGAGGCAGGGGGAGGCAGGGGAGGCAGGCGGCCTCTTCTCTCCCTTAGGTGTGCGCTGGGCTGTCACTCTGAGGAGACGCCCTCCGTCCCCCGTGCTCCGTGCTGACAGGGGCAGGAGGCACCCGGAGTGTTAATAAACGCACGGCTGACAGTGGAGGATCTTGCGATTTTTTTGGTTCATCCTCACCTGAGGGTATTGTTTCCGTTGATGTTTTTTAGGGAGTGGAAGCGGGGGAGGTGGAGAGAAACATCGATTGGTTGCCTCCCTCACATACCCTGATGGGGGCTGGGGACCGAACCCATGACCCTTTGGTCCCGGGCCGGTGCTCTAACCATGGGGCCACCCGCCATGGTGAGTCTCTCTGGGTCTTTGAGGACCAGCAGGCCCCCGGCTCAGGCCCTGGCTGTGCGGAGCGGGTCCGTTAAAGACGCTTTCCCCGCATCAGGCACCCATGTCCCGCCTCCTACCTGGATGATGGACTGCAGCTCCTGGATCTTGGTCTTGAGCATCTCGTTCTCGCGCTCCAGCTCCAGCACCTGCTCCCTCTTGGGCCGGCTCTCGATGTCGTTCTTGAGCTTCAGGGACTGGTTCCGCTCCAGCTTGCACTCCTCCTCCATCTTGTTCAGCCGGTGCTTCAGCTGGTCGATCTGCAGCCGGGCGCCCAGGGGGCGGGGTTGGCAGGGGCCCAGGAGGCATCGCTCCCAGGTCCCCCTGAAGCGGCCCCACCTGGGCCGCGCCCTCCCTCCTCCTTCCGTGGCGGCCGGGAAGGGCCCACAGAGCCTTTTCCAGTAAAACCAGCCGCCCCTCCCGGCTGAGGGGGTTCCCGATTCGCTGTTGAGAACAATTCAAAGGCTCTCTATGTCCCTTAGAAAATGCCGGGTAACCGTGGGGTGAAACGGGTGACAGATGAGGATAAAACCGGTGTCCCCGAGGCGTTGGCCATGTCGATGCCCTTTCACCACGTCCTCAGAGCTCCCCGTGAGCCCAGCTCTGGGCTCACCCTGACTCCCCCCCAGAGCGGCCCTGCTCCCCTAGGCTTTGTCCTCGTGGGTTCACAGCAGGTTTCACTGGAAAGGACAGCGTTCCTGCTGAAAGGTCCCAGGCTCACGGGTCTAGAGGGCCTGCCGGGGGCAGTTCCAACATCTGGTCACGGGGCAGCTGGACATGTGCTGGGCGTCACCGCGGGGTGAGCGTCAGGAACCGGGGCCAGAAGACTCTCACACCTGGTGCCCAGGCAAGTCTGCTGCCTCGGACCCTGGCCTCAGCAGAGCACCCAACACGGGGGCTCGTGTTCAAGGCTGCAAGGAGGGGAGAACCCAGAGGGAGCGGGTGTGTGTGTGTGTGTGTGTGTCCTGTCAGTTCCAGGCTCACGGAGAGGCGGGCATCAGAGTCTGGCAGGTGGAGGGCCGCGGCTTTAGCTGGGAAAGGCCAGCTCTGCACCCCCCCGCCCCCTGGCCCGGGTGGGAGGGGGAAAGGCCGCAGGGGAGCAGCCTGGGGCTGAGATGTGCCGGGTCGTGCGGGCCAGATGGGCCTTTCAGTTCTAGACACGCTTCCTCACTATGACTACATCTCAGGGAGGGAGAGTTCCAGCAGAGAACCGTGTGAGCCCCGCCCTAGGTTAACGTCTGCACGCGCCGGGTAACCGGCACAGGGGTCACTCCTGCTTAGAGACCGTGGGAAAAGGCCTGGTCAGCATCCTGTGCTGGGCCCGGGTCCCCAGTGGCCCCTGAGCGGGCATGGCGCACGGAGGGGCGCACGCGGGGCCAGCCACTCCCCCAGCGGCTCAGACATCTGAGGGCGTGGGTGTTACTGCCCTGATTGCCACTGACAAATGAGGAGACTGAGGCCGAGGGTCCACTAACGGGGAAGCGGAAGCCAGATGTGAATTCCCGTCGATGACAGTTAAGGCTCCTGCTCTTCACACACGTCCCACTGCCCGTTACGCCTCTGACTCCATCCGCCCGGATTCCAGGGGGCTGTTTACTGATCTGTCCGCTGCAGCTAAATTGCATGTGACCCGACCAGAAATCAGGTTATTTATCCCCGCGTCCCCCACGGTGCTCAGCACATGCCTCACGCGTGGCAGGTGCCTCATAAATATCCCGAGTCTATCTCCACCCGCAGCCGGAGTGATCCATCCTGAAATAAATCAGCCGCCACTCCCAGCTCCCCGGCCTTCAGCGCTCCCCGTCACCTGGGATGAACGGCAACGGTCTCACCACGTGTCCCCTCCAGCGGGGTCCTGGCCGCCGCCCCCCCCCCCCACCTCCTTCCCCGCCACTTGCTCCTGTGGCTCCAGAAACACCACCATGCAAGCCCCCTGCTCGGGGCCTCGGTCGCTGGGAGCTCCACCCTGACACTGGCATGGGCGGCCCTCCCTGTCCTCGGCCTCTGCCCCGCGTCCCCGCTCACTGGCCTCCCCGACCGTCCCCCAAGACAGCACCCGCCCGCCGGCCCCCTGCTCTGCGCGTTCCTCCTGAACAGCAGTGGGCACTGCCAGTACAGCGCCTGGTGCGGGGGGCGCTCAGCACTCGAAAGGAATGAACGGGTTAAGCAGATGCCCTGCCCTGTCTGCACTCGGGCGCTGAGTCCTTTAATGACAGCATCACGTGCCGGCGGCCCGTTCACCGAGAGGCGTCCTGGCTCTGGGACTGGGCCCGGCTGACCTTCCTGCGCACGGCGGTGCCGGCAGAGCCTGCGCCCAGGCCCCCATGCCTCCTGCCCCCGCAGCAGGCGCGGTGCCATCTCCTCGCTGACTCCTGGGGGCCACCATCTGAGCGTGGGCCCTTGCGTCTCCCCACCCCTTGGCCTGTGCACGGTCTGAGTGCGCTCGTCTGCACATGCGCATAGGGCACCTGGGCCCCGAGCAGGAGGGAAGCCCCACGAGGTCCCTGGGCACGTGTCTGCACCTGCCTGCGCCGGACCTGCGCTCCCCAGCCGGACTTCAGCTGCAGGGGGGCTGGTCTGCGCTGGTCTGCGCATGCGCAGGTGGGGCTGGGCCCCGGGCGGGCGCCAGGCTGCGGAGGGCGGTGCGCCTGCGCCTGCGCGGTGGGTGGCGGCCCGCCCCGCCCCGGCACCTGCCCGCGCCGCCCTCACCTCGAGCTGCAGGTCCCGGCTCCGCATCACGGCCATGTTCTTCTCCTCGCTGAGCTGCGCGTAGCGCATGGCCAGGTTGTAGTTGTCGTCCTTGACCTTGACCAGCTCGTCGTTGTAGCCGTCGCGCTCCTCCTTCATCTTGTAGTAGCGCTCCTGGAAGGTTTGCAGCTCCACGTGCGTCAGCATCAGCTGCTTCTTCTCGTCCTCCAGCTGCCGCGCCTTGGCCAGCAGCTCGCAGCGCTGCAGGTCCTTGGCCTTCATCTGCTGCTGCAGCTTGATGACCTCGTTCATGAGGAAGTGCGTGAGGCCCTCGTGGCCCTCCTCCACTGCGGGGGGCGGGGGGGGGGCGGGTGTCAGGGCATCCACTCCCCCCCCCCCCCCCACCCCTCCTCCACTGCGGGGGGGCGGGGGGGGGGGGTCAGGGCATCCACTCCCCACCACCCACCTGCCCCTCCTCCACTGCGGGGCGGGGGTGGGATGGGGGGTCAGGGCATCCACTCCCCACCACCCACCCTCCCCTCCTCCACTGCGGGGCGGGGGTGGGATGGGAGGGTCAGGACATCCACGCCCCCATCACCCACCCGCCCTCCTGAGCTCTCACACCGACAGGCCCCAGACTCAAGGGGAGCAAAGCAGCTCATCCCGGTTGAGCTTGGGTCTGGCAGGGAGGCAGACATCAGGAAAGGAGGGATGCAGACATGGAAGTGCAGCCTGAGATGTCGGAGAGAGGGCACAGGGCTGTGAGTGTGAGGGGCCTCTAGCCTGGGGGGTGGGGGTGGGGCTCCTAGGCTCCTGACCAGGGAGCTGAGAGGTTGAATGTGGAGGGAAATGCTCGGGCTGGTGGGACATGCGGAGGGGGACGGGGCACATTTCAGGAGCTGGGGGAGACCAAGTGCCTGGAGCCAGGGAGAGGCAGAGGCGGAGGGAGGCTGGAGTGTCAGTGGGGCTGGGCCACAGCACCCTGTGGGTCGCAGGAAGGGCTGGTCTCAGACAGAAGCAGCGGGAGGTTTGACGCAGGGAGGTCTGCCGAGGTGGCGAAGGCGCGAGACAGGTAGGGGTGGATGTGGAGAGCTGACGGGATGCAGGGCCGGGAGGAGGCCGGCGCAGGAATGTGTAGGAAGGGACGTAAGGCTAGACGGCCAGGGGCTCTGGCTCAGGGATGCTGGCAAGAGAGTAGGTGAGAACCAGACCCAGAGGCGGCGAGCATCTGTCCCGCCTCCGCCATTCACCGGGATGTGCCAGGAACACCCCCTCTCTCGGCTCAAGCTTCCCTTTGCCGCTTTCATCATCGGGCAGAAACCAGGGGCCGCCAGCCCGCAGGTGCTGTCCTAGCGCCACCGGTCCGCCGCTCTGGGACTGTCCGCCCAGTGGACACCCCCCCCTGCACCGCCGGCGCCCTCCCGGCTGAGCCGCTCACCCACGATGGTGGAGAACCTGCGTGTGGGCTCCTTGCCGGTCACCAGCTTGTACAGCTCCGGGTAGTAGAACTCCAGGCTCTCCAGGAACACCACGTAGCCCCGCTGGCCCTTGGTGTGCAGGATGTCCAGCAGCCGGCCTAGGGACACGGCCCCGTCACTCGGCGCACAGGGCACAGGTGACCGGACCCAGGTCCCATGTCCAGCCTCATCCCGGACTCCCACCCCTCCGTGAACTCAGAGAAGACAGCGTCGCCACAGCCGTCGCTCCCGAGGTGCCTCCCGGGTCCAGGGGAAGGAAATCCGAGCGCCAGGCCCTCAGTGGGGATGCGGTGGCTGTCAGCTCCCTTCCTCTGGGAAACTGGGGGGACCCGGGCGCCCGGACACGGCCTCAGGACACCCAGAGCTTCCCGTCGACGGGTCACAGTGAGCCATGCTGGCTCGGCTCCCTGACCGGAGGAGGGGGAAGTGCAGTGGCCACTACAGCGTGGAGGGTGTTCTCTGGGCTTCGGAGCAGAAGCAGATTCTGTGCGGGGAGCTAGGAGTCCCCGGAAGCAGGCCGCTCCCCTCGGGGCTGCCAAGCCCCTGGAAACAGCTTTAACGCCGGAGGGATGTGCCCGCAGGTCTCTGCCCCACTGGTTCCACTTAGTGTTTACATGTCCTGGCCTCCCCTCACTGTTTCATTTCCAGATGTTTCTACCCTGGAGGCCCCCGAGCTCGACGTGTCCCCAGGACGGCAGGACACGCGCATGTCATCTTGTGTGGGCCTCCGGCGTGTGGGCCGCGGGGTGTGGGCTCCCGGGGTGTGGGCCGCTGGGGTGTGGGCCGCGGGGTGTGGGCTCCCGGGGTGTGGGCTCCCGGGGTGTGGGCTCCCGGGGTGTGGGCCGCCGGGGTGTGGGCTGCCGGGGTGTGGGCCGCCGGGGTGTGGGCCGCCGGGGTGTGGGCTGCCGGGGTGTGGGCCGCCGGGGTGTGGGCTGCCGGCGCAGTGGGGGCAGGGCTGGAAGTGACAGCCGCACTCGGCAGGAGAGCGCTGCGATGGGTGATGAGTGTCGTGTTCACAAAGGACGGTCACAGCGCACGAGCCACTTAGCACCCATCACGCTGTGGGGAAGTGACTCCAAACCTTTTAAACTGTGAGCCACAGGGAGAGACATGTACCCTGTGACCCCGTGTGCCGCACAAGGGCAAATACACACACGTGTGTACACACAGGCACGTGTGTGTATAAAACCCCAACTAGTTTCACAAACCAGACTTAGCACCAGGCAGCCCTAAGGCAGTCCGACAGACCCCTTCTCAGGAGACTCTAGGCCAGCGGTTCTCAACCTGTGGGCCGCGACCCCTTTGGGGGCGAACGACCCTTTCACAGGGGTCGCCTAAGACCATCGGAAAACACATATATAATTACATATTGTTTTTGTGATTCATCACTATGCTTTAATGATGTTCAATTTGTAACAATGAGAATACATCCTGCCTATCAGATATTTACATGAGGATTCATAACAGTAGCAACATTACAGTTATGAAGTAGCAACGAAAATAATTTTATGGTTGGGCGTCACTACAATATGAGGAGCTGTATTAAAGGGTCGCGGCATTAGGAAGGTTGAGAACCACTGTTTATATATGTGTTTTCCGATGGTCTTAGGCGACCCCTGTGATAGGGTCGTTCGACCCCCAAAGGGGTCGCGACCCACAGGTTGAGAACCGCTGCTCTAGGGTGTCCCCAAAACGTATGCACACCCCTTGAATAATTATATAGGTAGTGCTTATTAGAGCACATTTCCTTTTCAAAACTGAGCTGTCAGCTGTTAAAGTGTGCACACATTTTTTGGAGACACCCTACATTCTTAAACAGACACAACGCATTGGGTTCCACAGGTGTCAGTGATAATAGAATACAGTTCTCAGACAGCAAAGCTACGACTCAGTAAGAAACGTGCTTCTTTCTGCCTGAAGCGACTCACTCTCCGGCAGATCTAACGGCCACCCTAACTCCGAGGGAGCAATGAGTGTAAAGGGTGTGTGGGGAGACTGTGACCGCGGTGATGGAAACGAAGACGTCGGTGATTGTGACGGGTGGCCACGTCCCAGGTGTCGCTAATCACTTGCTTTGTCACCTGCCTCCACCCGTCAGGTCAGCGGAGGGGTGCTCCCCTCAGGCCGGGTAGGAAAGTAAACACCGTTTCCCGCTCTCCGAGGCCGGGACCCTCTCAGTTCTACCGCTTGGTGGGGGGCAGGGCCGGGCAGAGGGCCGTGGGCCCAGCTGAATAATTCCCGCCCCGGAGAAACTTCACGCTGGCACACTGGCCGGAGGGGTTTCCTGGGGCCGCCACCAGGGGCAGCCCGCCCGCCCCCGCCGCCCCGTCCCCGTCCCGGGAGCGGCTGGCTCACCTGCGCGGTTGATCTTGGAGGGCAGCATGGGCGCGTTGAGCACCTCGTCCTCGTCCTGCTCGTCGATGACCTTGCACTGGCGCAGGTAGGGCGTGAGCTTGGCCGGGTTGATGTAACGGCTCAGCATGTGCCGGTTGCACTCCACATTCTCCCACAGCGCGTCCTCCTCGTCCTTGAGCGTCTCCATGTAGTCGTCCATCCCGGGGCCGCCTCCTGGCACACAGAAGGCACGCGGTCACCCGGGAGCTCACGGGACCGCGGCGAAGTCCCTCAGGGTGACCTCTGGATGCTGTTGGGTTCATTAAGGTCAAGCAGGGCCTGGTTGGGCGTCACCCCGGGCACCAAAAGGGTGCCGGTTCGATTCCCGGTCAGGGCACATGCCTGGGTTTCGGCTCGATCCCCAGGGGGGCGCGGGGGAGGCAGCCGATGGATGTGACACCCTCACATTGGTGTTTCTCTCTGTTCCCTTCCTCTGTCTCTCAAATCAATAAGCGATGCTTTAAAATAAATAGATAAATAGATAAACGGAAAGAGTCAGGCAGAGGAAAGCACTATGGTATTTTAACCATTTAAGAAAGGAAGGGAGAGGCCTGGCCAGGTCGCTCAGTTGGTTAGAGCGTCGTCCCGATTCACAATTCGGGTTCGACCCCTGGTCAGGGCGCGTACAAGCATCAGACGACGAATGCATACACAAGTGGAACGGCAAATCGGTGTTTCTCTCTCCCTCTCCCTCCTCCCTCTCGATAACCAATCCATCAGTAAATGAAAAGAAAGGAGGGGACAGAATACAGACAAGCAGGGTGAGCAAAAGTCGGCTCACAGGTTCTGGCTGTGACAGTAGCTTTACTAACTCTGTGTCTCACGTACTCACACCTGGAGCGCTGCCTTCGCCACCCGCGTCTACATCCTGTCTATAGTAACCATGAGCAATGGGTGGACAAGCCATAGTATTAGGGAAACAACTCTGGGAGGGGGAGACTGCAGCTGGCGTACAGCCCTCCAAGTTTTCGTGTCTCACGGAGAATTGTCCTTAACGAAGACGCCCTGTGTGGTTATTTTTTGTTTTGCAGTTTCACGCCGATGGTGTCATGCTGTGCAGTTCCTCGCTTCCTTTTCCACCTTGCTTTCTTTTCTCTACGTTTTTTGAGACTGATTTAGGTTGATATCTACGTCTGATCTGTTCATTTTTTAAAATATATTTTATTGATTTTTTACAGAGAGGAAGGGAGAGGGATAGAGAGTTAGAAACATCGATGAGAGAGAAACATCGATCAGCTGCCTCCTGCACGCCTCCCACTGGGGATGTGCCCGCAACCAAGGTACGTGCCCTTGACCGGAATCGAACCCGGGACCCTTCAGTCCACAGGCCGACGCTCTATCCCAGTGATGGCGAACCTGTGACACGCATGTCAGAGTTGACACGTGAACTCATTTTTTTGGTTGATTTTTCTTTGTTAAATGGCATTTAAATATATAAAATAAATATCAAAAATATAAGTCTTTGTTTTGCTATGGTTGCAAATATCAAAAAATTTCTATATGTGACACGGCACCAGAGTTAAGTTAGGGTTTTTCAAAATGCTGACACGCCGAGTTCAAAAGGTTCGCCATCACTGCTCTATCCACTGAGCCACACCGGTTAGGGCTAATCTGTTCATTTTTATTTTTATTTATTTTATTTTATTTTATTTTTTTTAAAAATATATATTTTATTGATTTTTACAGAGAAGAAGGGAGAGGGATAGAGAGCCAGAAACATCAATGAGAGAGATCGATCAGCTGCCTCCTGCACGCCCCCCATTGGGGATGTGCCCGCAACCAAGATACATGCCCTTGACCGGAATCGAACCTGGGACCCCTCAGTCCGCAGGCCGACGCTCTATCCACTGAGCCACACCGGTTAGGGCTAATCTGTTCATTTTTAAACAGCTTTAATGAAATATAATTTATGTAGCACACAATTCACCTCTCTAAAGTGTACAATTCAAAGTACATTCACAGAGCTGCCCAGGGATCACCCCAATTCATGTTAGGACAGTTTCATCGCCCCCAAAGGAAGCGCCATGGGCATCCCTCCGATGCGCACCCCTCCCGCCCTGGGCAACCACTAACTTCCTTCCGAGACACCTGCCTTTTCTGGACCTTCATGCGCAGCAGGCGCTCAATTGTCAGGGCGACAGTGCCTGCATTTCAAGCGCTTTATTCACGTCTAACGGTGGCACGTGTTCCGTGGTAAGAACATGGCAGCGTTTCTTATCCCTCCCCCCGGTTTTCGATGGGAACATTCAGCACTGTCCCCAGCGGGAGAGCATGGAGCAGCCTGACCAGGAGACAGTCCCCGGCCCTGCTCCACGGAGCCACGGCTCCGAGGGATGCATGCGGCGGCCCGACGGTGGCCCCAGACACGCTGGTGTTAAAAGAGGAGATTTCAGAACAAACACAGGTCCTTTAAGAAAAAGCACTTTGGTCTTGGTCCCCTTTCCTACAACTCTCGGGATCTGGAGGGGTCAGGGTGTCCTTTGTGTGGCAACGCGATGCCTCCTCGCTCGGGCCCTGGAGAGCTCTGGGGTGGGCTGGTGGCCGGGAGACAAGAAAGTGACTGGGAGCGACTCAGCCCCACACCTGACCTCTGGGGAGGGGAGAGGCCAGAGAGTGAGTTCAGTCCTCCACGGCGCCCGGCTGGCGTGGCTCAGGGGTTGAGCGTCAGCATATGAGCCAGGAGGTCAGGGTTCGATTCCCGGTCAGGGCACGTGCCCGGGTTGGGGGCTCGATCCCCAGTAGGGGGTGTGCAGGGGGCAGCCGATCAGTGATTCTCTCTCATCACTGATGTTTCTATCTCTCTCCCTCTCCCTGCCTCTCTGAAATCAATCAACATATATTTAAAAGAGGAAAAGAAAGTCCTCCATGGAGAATGCCTTAACCAGCCATGCCCGTGTAATGTCACCCCATAAAAACCCCTAAACACTGGGGTTCCCAGAGCTTCTGATTTGTGCCCACGCGCCCACGCTGGGAGGGGCACCTCAGCTCCAGGGCCCTGGGCCTGGGCATCTGAAGGGTGGGCAGGCTGCTGAAGATGAAGGTGAAGCCAAGTCTAGGGCGGTGGGTACCCCGATACCCAGTGCTGCCTCCTACTCACACCCTCTCAGCGGCCACCACCCTGCGGTCTCATCTGTGTCAAATAGACCCCTGGCCCTGGCCGACTGAGCTGCCCAGGGAGGACCCACCCATGCGCTGGTTGCACCTCCCCCTGGGGCTTCCACGCGGCCGGGGAGCACCGGGGAGCGGGCTGGGGGCTGAGCCGGAGGCCGGCACCTGGACGCCGGGGAGGTCAGAGCTGGGCCACCCACAGTGGGCGGAGCGGGGGAGGGAGGCAGGGAAGCCACGCTGTGTCACTGCCGTGACCGACCCACGCGTCCGCGAGAAGTGGCAGGGCCGTCTCTCTGGGTCTCTCACTCCAGGTCCCGGCCCCGTGAGCTCCGGCCACGAGTGGCCCTGCCCCTCTCGCGTGGCGTCTGGTCCCTGCTGTCGACCGCAGTGATCTCCCAGGGAACGAGCTGTCTGGTCTAGGCCTTTGCCACATGCGACCAAGGGCCTTGGCTGTTTGCTGTTTGGAGCAGCAACTGACTCAGTGATTCCAAGTGAGGGCGCGGCCCCAGTCAGGCCAGCAAAGTGCCAGACAGCAAGCCGCCGTCACCACCGGGCGTCCTGACCTCCAGCCCCTTTGCAAACGGCGCGGGCCACATGGCTGCTGGGTGGGGGCGGGCGCCGCCTCCGTCACTCCCTCCAGGAGAACCTGCCTTCGCTACTTCCAAGGCGTCAACATCCACGTTGGACGCTCCTCCCTCCCCTGAATATATTTTTTAAAATATACTTTTGATTTCAGAGCGGGAGGGAGAGGGAGAGGGAGAGAGAGACAGAGTGATGAGAGAGAATCATGGACTGGCTGCCTCCTGCACGCCCCACACTGGGGATCGAGCCCACAACCCGGGCCTGTGCCCTGACCGGGAATTGAACTGTGACCTCCTGGCTCATAGGTCGACGCTCAGCCCCTGAGCCACGCCGGCCAGGCCCTCCCCTGAATCTTAACCAGAGCTGGTGGCAACTCCAACCCAACACCGGCAGGTCTGGCCAGGGTCTGGCCAGGGTCTGGCGTGGTCTCAAACCCTGGGCCCCACCGGTCTTTCTATAAATAGCAGAAGAGCAAGTTCAAGGCTCCCGGGCAGGCCCCACAGGAAGGGCCACTCCGCTCACCTCTTTACAGTCCCGCCTCCGCGCCTCATTCATCTGAAACACGTACCGCGGGGCTCCCTGCTGCTGTCACCGTGAAGGTCAAAGTCTTCACCTTGACCCCAGGCCCTGTGTGGCCCGTCCCCGCGGCCTCCAACCCACGGACGCTGAGTGTCCAGGGACCTGCTGGGTCAGAGCCGGCCCCGCGACCTCGGGGACCTCCCCGCGCCGCCCCCTCACTCTCTGGTCCCCGCGCTCTGTTCGCGCTCAGGGTGAGGGGGCGGTGAAGGGGGCGGGTGTGACGTACCTGGCATGTGGCAGGCGCTCAGGACGCAGCTCCCTCCGGTTACCGAGGCCTGAGGGTCACTCCTCCCGGGCCGGGCTCGTCCCTCCCCGGGCCGGGCTGCTCCGGGGCCTGGGGCTGCGGTGGCCGGGCTCTGGAAAAGGGGAGACGCGACTGGCGCGGAGCCGGACAGAGAGCAAGGGCCGTGCGGGCCTCAGTGGCCGAGCAGCGCCTCTCTCCCGGGCCGGGACCGTGGGGCGGCCGCGCCCAGGAGCCGCTGGAGGAAGAGCCGTGGGTCCAGCCCGTGGCCGCCTGGGGAGCCACTGCCCAGGTTCTGAGGCCCCGGGACAGAGATGGACAGAGGTCCCTGGGGTTACTCCTGGCGGGGGGCTCCCCACGGTGCGAGAGGACGTGCAGAGTGGACGCTCCCATCGGCCCTCGCTCAGGAGCCAAGGGCAGGGCACATCCCGAGCCCAGAGGCGCTGCCTTCGCTCTAGTTACGTCTGCAGCCGCGGCGCCCGGGTCGGGCGGGATGGGCGCTTGGTAACTCCCCACGGAGCTCCTTCCGGGCTCACAGGGCCCACGGGTTGAAGGGAAGGACCAGGCTCCTCGGGAGAACGGGAGGGAAGGGGAGGGAGGCTCTGCCCTGAGCAGGTGGGAGGGGCTGTGTCCCCCCCCCCCCCCCCCGCCGGCTGCGGGCCTGTGCGGGCTCAGGCGGTGCTCGCTCGGGAATGAGGGGCCTGGGCGCCTGTTTAATCAGGAACCCGCTTGATTTGGGCCAAAGGATTAATCGCAGGCGACACCGGCCCTCCCAGGGCTGACAGAGCTGTTCTCATCGGGTGTCAGCTCGATCGCAGGGAGCTGTCACGGCCTCGCCCCGGGGAGCACAGGACACGCTTCTCTGGAGGACACCGTCTCCTTGGCGTCCCCAAGGCCTCCCTGTTCAGCGGCCGGGACAGGAGCAGCCGCCCGCTGCGGGCACCGCGGGGAGGGCTGTGGGCACCGCGGGGAGGACTGTGGGCACCGTGGGGAGGGCTCTGGGCACCACGGGGAGGAGTGGGCACCGTGGGGAGGGCTGTGGGCACTGCGGGGAGGAGTGGGCACCGCGGGGAGGAGTGGGCACTGCGGGGAGGAGTGGGCACCGCGGGGAGGGCTCTGGGCACCGCAGGGAGGAGTGGGCACCACGAGGAGGAGTGGGCACTGCGGGGAGGAGTGGGCACCGCGGGGAGGAGTGGGCACCACGGGGAGGGCTCTGGGCACCGCGGGGAGGAGTGGGCACCGCGGGGAGGGCTGTGGGCTCCGCGGGGAGGAGTGGGCACTGCGGGGAGGAGTGGGCACTGCGGGGAGGGCTACGGGCACCGCGGGGAGGGCTCTGGGCACCGTGGGGAGGAGTGGGCACCACGGGGAAGGCTCTGGGCACCACGGGGAGGGCTCTGGGCACCGCGGGGAGGAGTGGGCACCGCGGGGAGGGCTCTGCGCACCGCGGGGAGGGCTACGGGCACCGAGGGTAGGGCTACGGGCACCGAAGGGAGGGCTATGGGCACCGAGGGGAGGGGAGTGGGCACCGCGGGGAGGGCCGTGGGCACCGTGGGGAGGGCTGCAGGCCAGTCTCCGGGCTGAGTGCCCAGCCTATGTGGGCAGGCCGCCCACAGGTGAAGGGAAATAGCAATTTTCTTCATTTTCGAGAAGGAGGGGCATGGGTTCCTTCCAGAACCAGAAGAAAAGGCTTCTGGAAATTGGCTGGCGAGAGAGGTTCCTTTGCAAGAGACGGAGCGCGGTGGGCCCAGGCTGGTACATCCACCAGACGTGTCAGCACAGACTGGGGAAACCGAGGCACAGGGCAGCCGGGCATGAGGCTGCCCTTCCTGCCTCTGCCCTAGAGTTGGCCCACAGCCTGAGGAGCCTGAGGTCGGGGGAGACGTACAGGCTGTGTCTCCCGAGAGGTGGACCTGCAGGTATTTAACAGTCACCCCGATGCTGACACGTCACCCCGATGCTGACAGGCCATGGACGGCGCATGGGCTCCCTGAGAGGGGGCGCCCTCGGGGCTGGGGGGCCATCCCGCAAGGAGGCCCACGTGAAGGAGACAGCACGTGTCAGGTCCGCACGGAGGCAGCTTTGGGCCACGGTCGCTGGCCGCCTCTCATCACCCTCCACTGAGCCCCGAATTGCTTTTTTTTTTTTTTTTTTTAAAGTCTGCCTTTTAAATGCCTCTAACCAGAAAGTGTCTGTACAAAAGCGCCCTGAGATATCGCTCCAGCACACAAGCCTAAAACAGAAGCAAAACCACGTCCGAAGACGGCAGATATTGGCTCAGGGTTAAAAAGAGCTATTGCCTCTCACCAAGGAATCGATGGCTCGGGGAGTTACTGGTGTGGGAGTGAGGCCGGCCGGGGAGCCCATCCATCCTGCAGGGCGCCCGTTAGCTGACAAGCAGCGCTGTCTGTGCGGCCTCGCTGCCCCTGAAGGACGGCCACCCCCGGGGAGGGCGAGGAGGCTCCGGGAGGAGGGAGCGGCCGTGTCCCCGCGGGGAGCAGGGTGCGCGGAACAAGGCGAGACGTTAGAAAACAATCTCATCATGAAAACCCATGAAGAAGTTAGAGAAGATGTCGCAGCCATAACGCCATGAAAAGGAACAAAGAACGGGTTCTTGGCAATTAAAATAAGGTAGCAGACACTTGTAATTAATAGAGGATTTGGAAGATAAAGTTGAAGAAATCTCCCCCCAAAGTTAATAAAAAGTTAAGGAAGATGAGAAGGAGGGCTGAGGTCCACTTAGAAGGTCTAATACCCAGTAAGCAGAAATCCTAGAAAGAGACGACAGAGGTTGTATGTCCTTTCTTGTGCATCTTTTATATCCTATAAATGAAGGGATGAAATGATCAAAGAAAGAATATTTGGGATCCTCCACATGTAGGACTATGAGTCTTCCGGTGGGAAGAGATTGTGAGCAGGCGGTACAGCCAGGGGAAACGCCTTCTCAGAACCTCACTGAGATTTCAGGCCACCAGCGAGCAGAGACCCCGAAAGCGTCCGGGGGAAAAACAGCAGGGCACCCCGAAAGGTCTGGAAGTAAGTTTGGCCTCGGGCTTCCAATAGCAACTCCGGAAGCTGGGAGACAGTCAGGCAATACCTTCACATTTTTGATGGAAAATACCGTTAAATCTGGAATTGTAAACCCACCCAAACTATGATGAGTAAAAATAGAACAGTATTTTCAGAAAGGCAGTGACTCTAGACGTTTATTTCCTCGTCCCCTTTCTTGGGAAGCTACTTGAGGATGTGCTCCAGCAGAACGAGGGGCTCAAACAGTAAAGGGGAGGGTATGGAGCCCAGGAAACAGAATCTGATGGGCGGAAGCACCAAGGAAAGTTATGGGATGAGAGGGATGCCGCAAAAAGCAGCGGCCAGGTTTGCAGCAGGGGCATCAGGACCCATGAGAGACGCTGCCAGGGTGAACGTACTGAATGGTCGTCTCATATCCTATATAATAAAAGGCTAATATGCAAATCAACTGAACGGCGGAATGACCGGTTGCTAAGATGCTCACTGTCCACCAGGGCACAGACGCTCAAGGCAGGAGCTGCCCCCTGGTGGTCAGTGTGCCCCCTGGTGGTCAGTGTGCCCCCAAATGGGGAGCACTGCTTAACCAGAAGCCAGGCTCACAGCTAGCGAGCAGAGCGGCTCCCAGTCCCTGTGGGGAGCAGGCCTAAGCTGTGAGTCGGACATCCCCTGAGGGCTCCCGGACTGTGAGAGGGTGCAGGCTGGGAAGGGATGCTCCCCCTTACTGCACGAATTTTGTGCACCGGGCCTCTAGTATTTGATAATGTAGGACATAATATTGTGAAGCAAAGGACTGGTCTGAGAGTCAGATGGGAAAAATTAAGGACAGGCACATTAAAACCAAAAGCCCCGGCAAATGAAAACAAAAAGAGAGGCAACAGTAACTCCAGGAAAAAATAAAAAGCTAAGAATGGAAGCATTGCCGTAACCGGTTTGGCTCAGTGGACAGAGCGTTGGCCTGCGGACTGAGGGGTCCCAGGTCAATTCCGGTCAAGGGCATGTACCTTGGTTGCGGGCAGATCCCCAGTAGGGAGTGTGCAGGAGGCAGCTGATCGATGTTTCTCTCTCATCGATGTTTCTAACTATCCCTCTTCCTTCTTCTCTGTAAAAAATCAATAAGATATATTAAGAAAAAAAAGAATGGAAACATAATTACAGGCCTCAACCGGCCTCAACATAAACAACACCTAGTCACGGAATCGTAGCACACAACACCGTGACCCACATGCACGGGGAGCGTGGAGGAGGGGGGCGCACAGTGGGTCCAGAGGACCGCGGCTCCTCACCTACCTCGCGCTGCGCCAACAGAAAGGACAGAGCAGACACAGCGCCGCGTGGGATGCACACGCATCGCCCAGGAACACGGAGGTGGGTGCCGGAGGGCAGCAAGGATGAAGGCGAGTCAGAAGTGGTCGCCTTTGGGGGTCAGGACGGGGCCTGCTGCTGGCCAGACTGGGAACTGACGGTTTTCACGACAAGCCTACTTAGCCTTTATTCTCCCCACCACTGGCTTTTGGAGAGAGTGGGCGAGAAGAGAGAAACATCGATGTGAGAGAGACACATCGATTGGTTGCCTCCCACACCCGCCCGGACCAGGGCTGGGGATGGAACCTACGACCCAAGCACACGCCTTTGACCGGGAAGCGGACGGCCACCCTCCGGTGTGCAGGTCGATGCTCTAACCACTGAGCGCCCAGAGCGTGCCTGCTTAACTTGTAAACTCTGCATGACATGCATTATCGTGGCAAAAATATTAATAAAAAATGACAACATCCATCGTCGGAAATACGGACGCTGCATTATGGTCTGAAGGGTCAGACAACCACCCCCTTCTCTGCACGCTCACCGCGCCCCGCCCTCTGCAGGGCCTGGCACACCGCTCACCCCTTCAGGAGCCAGAGGTGCGTGCAGGGCACTTCACAGACGCCCCTCCCTCCCCTGCACAGGAGCGGGTCGGGTCGGGTTATGGCTCCCACGTTAGGATGGGGGGTAGGTTAGGGAGTAAGCCCTGGGTGAGACCCCACAGCCACTCAGGGGCAGAGCCTCCAGCCCCCTCCCCGACTCCCCGTCACCGGGTCCTGAGGGAGCCAG